CGGCCATACAAAAGAGTAACCAAGATCAACGCATCGCTTTCCCATGGAGAGCACGGAGGGTGTGTCCTCCAAGATGTGGGCTTCTGCTGGTTCGCTAAATGCCTCGAACTTGATGCTTGAACGTTTGGTCGAACACGTTACCCCATTTGCTGTGTGGAAGTTGACGACTTTGTCATCGTATGTTGGGAGATCCATTCTACTTATTCTTGTGGATGAAATGAGATCATGACCACTTCCAGAATCCAATATGAATCTCTTATCTCTCTCTTCAACAGGAACAGTGATACACATTGTGTTGCCCCTTTTAGCATAGCGACCCTCAATATGCTGAACATAGTTTTCCACAAAAACTTCCCTGGACACCTCACCGTCCTCGACGTCGAGTCTGATCAGGATGTCCATGCTAGGGCCGACTATGACCAGGACTTCATCAATGTCACTGTATTCACCCTTCTCATCGATCAGAATAGCCATTGCTTTTCCTCGGCTCGAAGCTAACCTGCATGAATAAGACCATTGCTCATCTTTCCTTATCTGATCAGTGGGCTTACCAACTTTACCATGACCTTTGGAGACGGTCTGAGATTTCCGATTGCACTTCACGAAGTCCTTCTTTACGTAAGTCTGAACGTGAGTATGAGACTCATCAAATCTGACCTTCTTCTTGACCACGTTCGATGCAATCTTATGGAATGTCTCTTCATCATCGCTCCAATCATGGGCAAGTGCAGGAGCAGCCTTTGAGCTTGGTGCTTCGGTGTTGGGAGCAGTGTTAAATAGATGAGGATCGTGGCGTTTGTTGCATTTGTCTCCATACCGACACTTGCCCTTAGCCCAAGGCCAGCATGGTTCATCAATCTTCTTGGTCTTGTTTGCCGGAGATTGACTTCTTGGAGTTCCTGGCTTCCGACCATTCCCTTTTGCGTTCTTATTCGCCTCGAACACCTTCTGATCATGACTGTATTCACAATCTTTGCCTTTTCTGCATGACTTCTTGATGAAATGGAAATGGCATGGGATCTTCTTCTTGGATCTGGGGCTGGTACTTCGGCTGTTTGCTCGATCCTTCCCTTTTCCTTTTCCTTTTCCTTTTGCATGCTGTTTAGGCTGAGGTGATGGTAGAACTGGAGCTGCATCGGCCTTGGCCTTCGCCTTGGGCGCTGCCTTCTCCTTGGGAGTAGCTTTAGGCTTCGCTTTTGGATTTGCATCCGGTGCAGCGGCAGTTGGGCTCGGAGCAGGAGCTGAAGGTTTGCCGCCACCTGCAAATTCTCTCGCATACTTCTCTCTGGCGGCCACATGCTTGTCCTCTCTGATTCTGGAGATGTGTCTTTCGATGACGTCCAACAGGTAGCGATAATTTCGTCTTTGGTCTCCCTCCATCCATGACTCGTACTGCTTGATGTCGAACATCATAAGACTCGAATTTCGAATCTTCTTGTATAGAGCGTCACGAAGCCAATCATCAGGAGGTACGTCATCCGGCATCATATTTGATACCATCTCCATCCATTTCTCGTAGAACACTTCTAGGTTCGAGTCACCGAGATACTTCATCGACACGATGTGCTCCATGGTGAAGGATGTTTCTCGTTGACCTGGGGTTCTGAAGTGCTCCAGAATCATAGCCAAGATTTCCCGTCCCATGACATAGGTTCCTCTTCGGCTATGACTTTGTGTTCTCAATCTCAATTTGATCGCTACATGACGAGCAACATCACCGGCTTGGGCTATCACGTTTGACAATGCAATTGACAACTTGGCGTCGATGGACTGATACCGTTGCCCCCCACTGTCATTCAATAGCTCGATGTCAGGATTTGGTCGAATAGCCGGCTGTAGCCATGCTTCCCATGCGGCTTTGTCTCCGTCATTTGCCGAAAGAACAACACTCTTGATGAGATCTGATTGCCAAACCCCAAGATTCTGTTGCTTTGGCCATGGGCTAACATAGACTTTGTCAGCCTCTCGTCTTGACATTCTCGGTACTTCTTCTGCAGTGTAAGCCGCTGTGGAGACATCATCTGCTGAATCGCGTTGTGATCCTCGAACTGAAGGCAAACCTGGTGGTTCAGGAGGTGGTCCTGGTCCGTTAGGCCCGAAAGGGTCCGGAGGTCCATCAGGGTCAGGCGGACCGCCCCATCCACTCGGTGGCTTGTAATAGTCCCTCTCAGTTCCGCCAGCGATCTTGTTGTCAACCTCTTTCAGCAGATCGGCGATTCTTTTGTTTGACTGAGAATGTTGTTGTTGTTGAGGAGGTACAGCATGCCCACGATAGGAATGAGCCACATTTGTCTCATAAGTCAACTCCTTGTCGATCTGCGAAACCCAAGATTTCAGAATGGCATTTTCACTGTTAGCCTCACTCACGTCATTCTCCAGTTTGTCGATGACCAGTCTGGATGCGAGATCGGTGTTGGGAATGCCTGCCGAATAGGGAAGTGTGTCAGGATTGATTCTAGCCATAGATGTTTCAGAATCCTTGATACTTCTTCTCAGTTCATCTAAGTGACGTTTCATATCAACAATCTCAGAATTCTTGATGCCAATCTTTTCATCCCTATCCTGGATTTCCCCCATGAACATGCATGATCTCTCATATTGTTGAACACCACTAGCCAATTTCAATTTTCGCTCACTCTCTAGTTCGGATCTTAGAGTTCGGACCTCGGCATTGGTGAGGGACGAAGCCCCTACATCCGCAACTTCAGCCAATCTTTCTTTCAGTAACATGTTTTCTTGTAAACATTCATGAACTTCATGATCAAGATCCTGAACCCTAATTTGAGCAATTTTGGCTTGATTACGTAGATCTTCAACAAGCATCTCATCGGGGCCACGACCGTCGGTCGTAGAACCCTGAGTCAACGATCTCCGCAATTTCGTGTTCTGCAACTTGATCTCATCCTTTAACTCGCAGTTCATTTCCTGCTCATTGGTGTAGAGCTCTTCATAATGCTCGGCCCTCGCGATCGAATTCAAGCTGGCCTGTGATTCAAGCCTCAGGTGTGATATCGCTTCGGCCTCTTGGTTCCTGTATGATGCAATTCTTTTGACGGTATCATGTTCGGTGTTTCGATGCTTCAGATCACTTTCTAATTTGGCCTGATTTGCCTCGAAAACCTTCTTCCTAGATTCTCTAGTGATCTCGTCAATACTGCCTTCATACAGCTCGGCCTGTTTACGAGATTGAACCAAAGCTTCACTCAATAGTTGATTCCGTTCAGATAATTCATGAACTGCAATCGACTGTTGTTGGCTAATCACTTCAAGTTGATTGCTAGAGAAGGATGCCATTTCGGATCGATTACGATATTCCATGATTGAGTTCTGGAAATCATTTTGCATTTCCTGACCTTCATTGTAGAGTCGATTGGCAATATCGGTGGTTAAGACATTGGTTTGATGAAGTTGTTGAAGTCTTGCCTCCGTATTACCCAATAGTCCTTGAAGGTGATGTACTTCATCCTTGTACTCCTCCTGGATCTCCATACCACGTTGATGGATCCGTCGTGCACCATGTTCCATTAGGGCACCTCGGCGTTCAAGGTCTTGGATGCGCATTGTTGCACCTTCATCTTCTTGAGATGCTACCATTAACTCTGCTTGATATTCTGCAACTTCATTCGCGGAACGTGACAATCTACGATTGAGTGCACTGACTTCATCAAATACGTTCTGGTTGTGTTCCTGAAGATACTCGGTGAATCTAATCTCGATGTCATGAATCAGTTGATCTCTAGATGCAGCGTATGCTTCCATGTTGTTCAGCTGATTACGTAGGGATTGACATTGTGCCCGTAGTTCTTCTATCATGGCGATAGGTTCACTAGCCACAGAAGTATCCGTTGATCTCCTCTTAACACGACTATCCCCGGTCCTCTCACCAACTCGGTCGGTCACGGCCCTGGTGGATCTGTCCCTAGGAGTAGTTCGCCCTCGAGATTGTCGATGCCCTTGGCGGACAACATCACTCCGAGGACTGTTTCGAGAAGATCTTGGTGTACTTTGGGTGGATATCCTTCGTCTGTTTGTCGTTACTTGCCATCCGGACTGTGTAGTTCGGGTAGAGCGTATCCCACCACTGTCTGCCGTGTCACCAGGGGAAGACTGATTGACCTCCTCGACCGGCATGGCAGTGTTCTCGTTGAAGGTAAACTGCGTGGTGCGCGAATCTCCGCTGCCGCCATGCATCTTTGCGATGATGAGCTGATTGGTCCTTTGCGTCCTCAATCAATTGCTCAGAAGGCCCGGCTACCAGCACGCAGGTACCACTCTCCCGGAGGGAGAAGTGAGCCCTACGGCTGATAACCTGTGAACAAATCGATCCTTGTTCTGGATGTTATAGTTCAAGTGGTACCCGCTTCACTGGTAGTTCCCGGACCCGTTAATCATGGCGGACGGCGAACACTTATTTTGCTCACGCGTGGGGTCTTGAGCCATGATGGCGTCCCATGCATGAATTGTTTGTGTGCTATTACTACGTTCCCTTTGACATATAATATATATATATATATTTGGAGACAAAAAGGCAGTGCCTTTGCAACCAACCCTATCTGTTGCATTGAAAAGACTTTTCTGAAAGTAGTTGAGTAGACAAACATGGAAACACCGCAATCTTTTTTTTCAGATTTCTGTCGCTCACACTTGCTTGGAGCTTGTGCAACACATTGTTCCGCCAAAGCTTGAGAGGTTTTAGTTCAAAGTTTAAACCCCTTTCAATCTCTTCATTGCAATGTGATGATGTTTTCCTGTGCCGAAATAGCATCCCAAGAACCAAAATGGTCTGGTCTGGGTACAAGTGATCCAGCACCCGGAAATAATCAATAATTATAGGAGGTTTGGAAGAGACTATATATTTCAAATGTGTTACTAAGGCAGGGCCAGTTTCGGAATATAACCTGGTTGTTCTCATTGCATCTTCCCATCCTATATGGTGCACACAACTACCCTTTTGTCGACACTCAGTCAGAAAGAAAGAAATTGGTAAGCTGGGGATCGAGCATTGCACTCTTCACTGCAAACTGCGTCAAAAAGTGGGACCTGGCAGTCAAAGTATAGGAACATCAGGAACTCTTGAGGCTTGCGTGTATGCGTCTCAGCTGTTAAAAGCTGGACATATGCTCGGCCTCGGCTCTTGTTCTTGGATGCATCATAAACATGTATAAAGTGCGCAAGTGTTTGAAACGTCGTGCAACCTGTACAAATACTGTAAATCGTGGTTGGCCTTTTATGGCGTTTCATTATTTTCATGGCAGGGCCATGCAGGCCATCCCTTCCCACATTGTCAGCGAGTCTGCGCACCCAAGGACAATCAACTGCACATGAATGACAGCACTGATGACCTCCGACAATATCGCGGACAGCCCTGAGGAAAGCCAGCTGCTCGTCCTGAAGCCCAGGATACCGCAGGATACCACATGATACCATGATAAACACCAAAAAAAAGTTATTAAAATATATTTAAAAATATTACTGTAACAGTTCATGAAAGCCCATGCCCCAAACCATCTTCACAAGACAAGTTCAAGCCTTTTAAACGGATGTCCATTCAAAAAGAGTCCAGAGTCCCCTGAGTCTTGTCCTCCGGCTCCCAGGATGTCTTCTTGTTGAAGAGGAACCCAAAGGCCTGCAACATAGTCTGGACCCGTCTGGACTGCGTAACCATGCGTAACCCAACTGTGCATCCATTTGCTGTGGAATGCTGTGGAATGCTGTGGATGACTCACGAGTTCCAGCCTCCAAAAATTGTGATGGCGTACAATCAAAAGGTGCCTGATTGGTTCGCCGGCGTCTACCCATGTCATTTCATGAATTTCAATGAAATTCATATGTTCTGTTGTGCCAAGCACCGGAAGGTGTCTCACAAACGTCGCTAAAATGTCTCACTGAAACCAGATTGACGATTTAATACGATTGCACAAATGACGGCCCTGCTGCACTGCTGCACTGCACCTGCAAATGTGCGGGAATGATTTTTTGAAACGGCCACTTGGCCACATCTCTCACCCAAACCTCGGATCGGAAGACTGTCGACAGCGCAGCATAGCGCAGCATAGCGCAGCAGTGTATCTCTTTAATTGTCTCTTTCGCATTCTTTATATTCTTTCACGCCAAGATATGCCAAGTACAGCCCTTGCACGGTACTACAGTACTATTCTGTACTACCATGGCCTGACTTGCCAAACTCCATTCTAGATGCCATCGGTGCATGTTGAAACCAAGCCCTGGACTGCTGCTTGCTCTGGGCATCGGCGGTAGACGATGAAACGGAGCCTCATTTGGCGATAGGTGGTTTAATTAAATTTAGTTAGCGACAATACTCGTTCAGAGGATAGGGTAAGGCAAAGGTCGTGCCACTTGCCAGTCTCAAGGTGCACCACATTTCGCTATTGGCTCTTTGATACATTTTGCATCGTTTTGTATTTGTTGCATCGTTCATCATCTTCTGGCTTGCATGTCGTTCACCTATCTGAGATCATGGCAACGGATTTACTAATGCTGGCGGCTTTGAGAGGGCGGCAAAATCCTGAAGCACAATACGCATAAGGGATCATAAGGGCCTATAGTAGGCCCATACCCAAGAAAGGAACTTCAACCAAGAATCCTACGTTAAACCTTCTGCGGCCTGGAACCAAAACCTACGCCAACGGTCTGGTATGGTTCAGACGTGCGTGACATTGGCCAATAAAAAATTCTAAAGATCGGCTATGATTGGCTTCTATCACTCGATGGGAGTAGCAAAATCATGTTCGAAATAGCCCGGCAGTACAAAACCTTTTTGAGAAGTCTCACTTGGATCAGACCTTTGATGAAAGACCACGTGCACTATGTGCAAACACATGTTACTCTTGCAATGTAAAGTCAGCGAATCGGTCCTTCTCATCCTGATTCCGGCCAGTGACGAAGTCAAAGGCGATAGCTTTGTATCTGAAGGCATCAGATGTGCAGCCCAAGTGGCCCGTCGAATCACATGGAAGGATGTGGAAGAGGCATGCTTTGATTCAACCGAAGTTTGAGAGATGCTACCAACGCGGCTCCTCCAGAGCCAAACCCCTCTATATTATTTTATATTCCAAAATATTTATGTAAGCTGTAAAGCTGAGAGGAAACGATGCCTCCTGTTTCTACATGTCCCTGAGGTGGCCTTCTTATGTTCTCAAGCCGCTGCTACGTGGCTGAGGGAGCAACCCTTGAAACTTGTCATGCCTCCATTGTTCCAAAGAGATAGGTCCAGGCGTCCCGTCATAGCCGTAGGACTCCAAAATCTTGGGTGGCTTTGAAGGAAGTTTCAAGGCGCAATCGGTGACCAAGAGCGTATGTGTCTCCGAATGAAAGAAGACGGCTTCAGCAAAGGTATCCGTCACCGGCGGCTCCACAAAGAAGACCTGACTCACTTGGGATTTTCTTAAAAGTCATTTGAAATGTCATTCTAAAAACCCAAATCATGTTGTCGTTTTTATTACTCGTACCGTTTTCTCAGGTGGTGGGCTCTCTTTACTAGAAATGTGATTTTTCCAGCTTTCTGGGGGTGTGAAAGCATCTTCGCTTGAAAGTCAATAGATGTAAATAGATGTAATCATTTTTTTTCATGTCCTTTCCTTTCATTTCCTTTCATTTCGTTTCATTTTGCATTCATTTCCCTCAATGTTCTTTTCATGTTGCATTCAGTTCCTTTCATTTTGCATTCATTTCCTTTCATTTTCCGTTGCTATGTCACAAACATGCAGGTCTTCGAAAGGTGATATGCTCAGACCGTATCCGCCCAAATGCTCTTCTTGTACGTTGTTATCGTTTTTGTTGTAATTTTGCTATCGTTTTGGAGGCCTGCGCAGGTTGCCATCTTCAGGGTTCATGAACATGTACATGTACGTACATGTATGAGCTCGCCATCGTTTTTTTTACTTTTATCGTCGGTTTCTGGGCTAGTAATACTGCATTGGTAGTGCTAAGGGGCAAGCCAAACCAAAATAAAAGGCCTAGGATTATGATACTGTCCCACTTGGCATACTCAAAAAATTACCAGTGGGTTTGCATTATATTAATATGTATACGGTATACGTTTAACATCCTGTGACCATGTTTTGGTTTTGTTCCCCATGTTCAGGTCGCTGGATGAAAGGAAAAATGTAGGCTTCAGGATTTCCGGCGTGGCTGCAACTCCTTGTCTCTTGACACCCGTGCCGGCACAACGAAACAGAACGAAACAGAACAAAACTGGCCTTGCATGGCAGCTCGTTTTCCCAGGGAGCTGTGTCACGTCCAAGGATGCGCGCAGTGTCCGGCACCGTGATGGGCAAGCTTTGGCCTTGGGGAACAGCTCTCGCAGGTCAAAGTCAGAAGAGATGTTCTGCACACTTTGGACTTAGCTATCCTTCGCTCAGTTTGCTGAAATATGCTGACATCTCTTGAATCCTTTGAAATTGTGCATAGGGCGGATTCGAAATGGATCGAACAAATGCATACAAATGCATACAAATGCATGGATCTGGAGATATCTGGAGATATCCAGCTTATTCCAGCTTCCAGCTGCCTGGTGTGGCCCAAACCGTGGCAGTTGGGTAAATCCGCAGAAACTCCGAGAGCGATGCTTTGTGCTCCAAAGCCTTGGGCGAGCGCCGGGATAGACTCGTGCACCATGCTCATCTGTTCATCATCTGTTCATCATCTGTTCATCATCTGTTCATCATGTGACATCTAAGCATGAAATATCATTTATATACATTCATTTACTAATTTAATCTTATGAAATATCATGAGCTCATATAATGTGCATCAAATTACATGCCAACCTTCAAGTAGAAGAGGATAACAGGTGTTGATCCAAATCGGAATGAATACTGAGCTTATCTCCAGCAAGAAAGGTAATCTATGTCTACATTACGTCCACCTATAGCTTTTCCAAGGGCTTTGGAATGGAGGACAAACGGGCGTGGAGAAGTAGTTACAGTCATGCCTCGGTCATGGGCAGGTCTATGAACATGACGCTCGTCTAACTTGACCATCTCAAAAAGTTTGCATTTGCAGTAATCATAACATAATCATAACATAATATGAGAAAAATTGCCCAAACAATCCCATTGGTAACGGCGCCAATACGAGACCACAGAATTGTTTAGGAGATGTTGGGAATGTTTAGCACCTCTTTTCATAGATCCCACTATTGATTAATTACTATTGAGCAAACAAGGTCGAGCAAAGTTTGCAAGGCTCACCAAGAAACAGTAGAGGGCACTACGAGGTGAGATACTTTACCCAACTCGTCCAAAAGTCTCAGGCATTGCCGTGTGGGCGAAATCGGCGCCGAGACCCACAAGCTTCCATCCTATAAAAAATGGTTGGCTCGTGCACATCGGTGGACAAAAACAGCTTTCAGTTTTGTTGGTTGAAGACTGTTTACTGTTCAAAAATGCTCCAACCTTGCACACAGCACATTGAATGCAGTATGTGGTTCCCATTGGTTCCCCATGTTGAAATATGTTGAATATCTCTAGAAATCTCTAGATATTTTTTGGGCATCCCATGGCATCCCGACCTGAAGCTTCACCACGGTCATGCGGATGTTGGTTGAGACCGAAGCCAGTGCGATGCACTGCTCAAAGCCCCAGATTCGACCTGGCACAAGCTCCGTGCGGATCGTCTCCTTGTAGGGTGCTGGTGCCAAGATCGTACCTGAAACACGTGGACAACATGGAAGACAACATGGAAGGATAAAGTATAGAACTATATATAGAGAGAGAGATATATATATATATTAATAAACATCATTATTTGAATCATTATTAATGCAGAAACCCAAATCAACAATCCAGACGTGGTGCATTTGCTTGGCATCAAGATAAAGTCCTCAAGTCCTCAACAAACAAACAAAAAAGTATTGCACACTTCTGAGAGGATCTCCCGAAATGGACGACGTAGTAGAACAACGTGCAAATACGATATGCATATATATATATATATGTGTGTGTGTTGTTTATTTATTTAGTTATTTATTGGTTCATTTACGTGTGTTTGTGTGCGTATGGTGTATTTGTTTCTCTGTCTATATCGTTCTCTGGTCTCTCATCTCGTTCATATGCTGGACCTTCCACCACAAATAATATTTTAATATATCTATCTAACAGTGGTCACAGTATGGAAGCTTAACTCAAGAACCCTTACATCTGCCACAATTGAAGGCAATGAGTGGCTGCATCCTGCTACCCGAGCTACCGAAAGCAGCATATCTCTCATCGGATGCCTTCAAGGCAGCATTAACACCACCCACAGCAAGACCTCCAGCCACCAGGCTCAACACAGCACGTCGGCTTGGGTCTTCCATCTCCTTGGCAATCTGAGCTCAAAAAAAAAAACTTTGGCACTTTAGCCGCTTACACTGGATCTTGTGGAGAAATTGTGGGAAATCTCAGAATAGCATGCTACATCATGCTACACATGTAACCTGACAAAATGGAATGCTATACAACTTCCATGCCATGATACATTATTCCGCGGTGCCTTTAGTTGTTATGTTAATGAGCGTCCATCTAACTTACTGTAGAATCTTTAGAACATATATTTCCACGAACGAGACCAATAAATGAACGAACAGGCAAAAGCTTGCAACAAGGTGAATTTGAAACTGTTTGAGTCCAAAAAGCAAACAAAGTGACAAGTGATGGTATATAAATGCAAATGTAAATGTAAAGGTTTACAACAGATTTGCATCAGAGTCTCAGACTCACCCTGAGCCCTACGGCCCCCCAGGGAGCGGCTGCGGGCCCTCAGCGCACCACAGAGCACAGCAGCTGCTGCGCAGCGTATCTTTTGTTTCCAGCACATCCACTGCTTCACCACATGCTCATGATGCTCATGTCTTCCGCCATTTCCTGAGCAATTTCAGCATGTCAAAGCTTTCCAAGAGACGTCGGACTTCACCCGGCCTACTCACTGTGCCACAAAAACCAGAGTAGTGAATAGGATTGAATCATAATTAGTGAATATTATTGAATAGGTGTGTGCATACTATGGGATTATGTCACCTTCTGTGCAGCGGACTTCGCACAGCATCATCTTCATCATTACCTCTGCCAAAATCATACCACACTCTCCCACAAATACATCTGCGCAGGTCATCTTCACCTTCATCCTCGGGATCCTCAAAAAAAATTGGCGCTCATTTGCCAAATCCTGTGCTTGAAAACCAAGCCTTCAGCTCCATTTAACAAAGTGACTTTGGGGGGCATCCTCTCATATCCTGAACAGTGCCTTTAAATTCCTCCAACATGATGTGATTTGCTCAACACTATTCAACATTCATATTTCAAACGTGAACTCATAATCTCTCATTCATTTCATACATGAGCTATATCTGAATGTTCCGAATGCCAGGATCTGATTGCCGGCGACAACCGAAACTGTTGATGTCCACAGCACGGAGTCGCAGAAAGCGCCATGGACACCATGAGTTAGCAGATTCAGCACCTAAAATGTTATGAAAACAATATGTTGGGTCCCTGTTGGGTCCCTGTTGGGTTGAGGATGCACTAGGTTCACTGATTAGATCTCTACCGATTCTTGAGATCTTTGATGTTTTGAATTTCTGTGACACATTGGGACGTGGCATGCGCGTTGTCATAGACACAACGCAAACTTAAACATGTGGGACAAAACTCAGAGTCTGGTTGGTGTCCGATAAGACAGGCAATCAGCGAGAGAGAGAGAGAGAGATATATATATATATAATGATAAAATATATATATATAGAAGAAACAGAAGTCAGCTTGTATCCAACAATGCAGCCGTGAAATTCAAGCATTGGCATGCTGGAACCATGCTGGAACCATGCTTGAGCCTCAAACATTGGCAAGCGCATCAAAAAATATGATTCCAATCAAAAAATATTCCGAAGCCATCAAAACGAAATCACATTGCAATCAAAAAAAGGTTATCCCGGCAAGAGGCCCCAGATAAGGAAAAGGTGGCAAGGAATTTTTGCGAGCTCACTTTGCGAAGATCTCTCTGAAGGATCATGCGCCAGATCTCCTTGACAGGATCTCTGTAGAGGCTGCTTTGCAAGATCAAGTCGTAAGGATATCTGTAGAAGGTCCTGGGCAAGAGATCTTGTGCAGGTTCCCTTCGTCGCTGAATATGGTGCTCAGGGTGTATATAATGCACAACATGCCTTTTGCGAGCATGAAAAAAGTAGGAGGAGGGGATGGGGGAGGGCTTAAGAGGGGCAGTAGCGCCCTTCAGGTAAAGGATCAGCAAAAGCGTCTTCCCAGGCTGCAAGCCTTGTTTTTCCTCTATCGGCCAATTAGCCAGTCAGTGCAGAGCCTAGTCTACAAGCTATTACAAGCTATACCTCTATATCTCTCCTGAGCCTTGGCAGCATAATTAAACTGTGCTCAGTACTCATGCTATGACCTGGTAAGGTTCAGTCCAAAACAAAAACAAGGGCGCAGGGCCTCCCCCCAAAGCAGAATGACAATACTTGTGCTCCCAAGTACTGCTGCCCGTTGAATATGGTACTCAGGGTGTATATAATGCACCACATGTTTCATGCCACATAAAGCAGTTCAGGCCTTTAGGTTTGGGTGGGGTGATGTAGGTGGTGGAGGGATTGGGTGGGGTGGGGTGGGGGGCGGGGGGGGGTTAGGGTTGTGTGTGTCAGCATATGAATTGGAACTCTTGAATGGGCTTTACTGAAATAGATTTGTCGGGTAATATATTTACAAATGTGCAAGCTTGGGTTCAAATGAAAAAGGCGGGAGGCGGGATTCGGGGGGGGGCGCAGCGCCTGATTGGGGGGAGGGCGCAGCGCCTCCCCACAAAGCACAATAACAACAACTGTGTCGTGTGCTGCTGTAGGTTGAATATGGCACTCAGGGTGTATAATATATATATAGTATTATATAGTCATATAGTGCTCAAGGTATATTAGCACAACATGCCTACTGTGAGCATATAGAATGTAAGTTAAACCAATCAGATACAGTTGGAGAGCCAGTCTCAACGTAACAAGTGTCCTGAAATACCACTTTCAGCTTCATTCCTTCCTTCCTTCCTTCCTTGATTGATTGCTTGCTTGCTTGCTTCCTTCCTTCCTTCCTTCCCTCCTTCCCTCCCTACTTCTTTCCCCCCTTCCTTTCTGCAGAATATTTTTCCGATTGGGATAATAATTTGTTTCCGATTACAATCATAACTTGTTTTTGACTGCAATAATATTTTTTTTGATATAGATCGCCCAAACATTGGCCAACAAGCATCGAGGAAGTTTGCCAAAACAAGAACTTGAAGGATTGCGCTATCATTTCGCATGAAAAACTGGACCTATCAAGGGCCACGGGGCTGACCCTGAAAGGCCAAAGCGAAAATCCATGAAAATCCCACCTATGGCAACCTACGGCATGCTACGGCATTCCATGGCATTCCATGGCTGTCCCGTGCTTAGGCTCCGTCTCTTTGTTTTTGTGAAAGTGCAGCTGGGCCTCAGAACAGCACGAGGAATTGTACAATGGATGCTCCTCTCTATAGATCTCCATAGATCTCCACAATCCTAAACCTTATATTCTCCTCAGCAATCCTAAAGACATCTAAAGGCATTGGCTAAATATGGATAAACTATGATAAACTCAAGGGAAAGCGTGCCTGTGAAAGATGGTGGCCCATCACTTCTTTGGTTTTGACCTGCTGGAAGGAGGCTTCAGAATACATCAGAATACGCCATGAGTCAAAGGCCAACCGGACTCTGGACAATACATGGCCAATCGGATTCGCATTGCTCCACGCCTCCAAATCTATCCTTTGCGACCAGTCTTTCACGTACCTCAAATGTGGGCAGCTGGCTCAGCTGATCGCTTCCCAACACCATTGAAAATGTGAATGCGAGTCGATAGCTGCTAGATTCGCTGCCAGATGCCAGCCCAGCCTGTCTTCTAAAGCGTGCAGTTTTCTCCTCATGGTCCTGGCAAGTGCAGGCGACTGCAGGGACGTGCAGACTGAACTTATATTGCTGCATCATCCCTGAGTCAGAAAAATTCCAGAAAAATCTGTAAATTGATAATAAAATGCCTTACATTGCCTTAGCCTTACCACATGCAAGATGTTGCAAGATCGCTCAAAGCTCCCATGTAACGCATGCTGGCTTCACTGTCCACGTTGCCGTGCAGCCTCCAAGGGCATTGCCTCTATTGCACTTGGCTGTGCCACCAGGTGGGCCGAAAAAGATGAGAAAGAGACAAGGCAAAAAAAAGAGACCTACATATCCTACATAGGGCAAGGAGGATGAGGAGAATCAGGCATTTCGCACTGATCATCAGCAAACGAGTGCAGAATCCACAGCTGCCTGCCCTGCGGCAGATACTCGCGCCACTGCAAGGCTGTTTGACCTTGGTCACAGGCCGGCCAACATGTTGCCAGTTGCAAGCTCAAGTGATGGGGCCTAAAGGTTGAAGATGGAGCTATGGCCGAAGAATGTCCAAAGATTTTAAAAGGATGTCAAAACATGTGAAAACTGCCCACCAAACATCACCAAACATTCCACACCTATGTGACATCTGACCTATCGTTGCTGACCTCTGCTGACCTTTGTTGACTCCAATGGGCCGAGGTCATCACATCTTTGCGAGTGCTCAATCTGGTATGGTGGACAGTAAGGCAAAGAATCCGCGTAGAGCTAGTAGAGACTAGACAATCTTGGACATGCTCAGGCGTGCAGGCCCCTGTCGGGCTGATGTTTGCAGTTTGTTCCTGGTTTCAAATGCCAGTTTGTCGTACTGTTTGTGCGTATGCTGAGAAAATCTAGGATCTATGCTGCTGGAAACACGGCTGGTTCAACAGAATTTGCTGTTGGCTGTGGGTGGCTGATTGCTGCGGGCAAAACATGCTCTGAGAGGACAGGACAATGGCGAGAGCAGCAAATCTCTGTGTACAATGCAACTGTAAGTTGGCATGATGTGGGGGTTCACCCTTGCAATGGTATCACAATGCCACAATATGCCACATCAAGCAACCTTCCTCTGCCTCTACCTTCTTGATACCTTGATCATGAGCCGCCTGTGGCTTTTTCAGTCAATAGCTGCAAAACCCGGGCAAGCCGAGGTGTATGCAGGCGCTATGAACAAGGAAGCCTGGACCTCCCAGGCCTCCAGAAGTGGGACGCATCCCAGCCCTCGAACTATCTGGAACTGTCTCGAACTTACTTGGACAAACACAGTAATTACATGGACTGCACCACATGCACCACGAGAGCTACAGGGCACTGGCACTGCCATGACATGCAATGTTGCCGGACAACTCTGGTACAAAATGGGTGCGTTCCAAATTAGTTCGTAGGACCAAATCATAGACACCCCATGCGAGAAGATATCCATAGATTCCTTAGATATCCATAGATCCTATGCGAGATCTCATCACACCGAGGCCATCAGTGACTTTTCTTTTTATCCTGACACTGCGAGAAGCTGCTTTGCATAAGGCGTCTCGGACGCTGCAAGGATCTGCATGGCATGGCATGCAATAGCAACCAGGCCTTTTTGCAAGATTTTTTTCTCTCCTTCTCTTCCCTGTCCTCTTTTTCCTGTGAGGTTGGCATCGGACTTTCAAATCATCGTGGCGGTGTCTGTGCCTCCCTTGTTCAATACGTTGACTCGCTATGTCGACCTGCCTTTCGCATCAAAAATATGGTCACCACTCCAATGATGCCGAAGACAACTACCAAGAGGAGGATGGAGGCCTCTCCACTTCTCAAGATGACAGTGCAGCGCTTAGGCTGAGACTGAAGCACAAATTAGCACAATATCTTAGAGATTCTTAAAGCCTTGAGGATTCGTAAGGTGTTCCAAAGGTGTTCCAAAGGTGTTCCAAAGGTGTTCCAAAGGTGTTCCAAAGGTGTTCCAAAGGTGTTCATGCTACACACATTCTCGTGACAAACGCCTTGCTCCCCGAGGCAGGGGCTGGAGGCTCCTGATTCAGTGCTGTGTTTGGGGCTGAAAGGCTGAAAGTGTGGTATCTGAAAGTTTGCTCAAGAACGGTTCACTGGCGCTCTCACCAGCCAAGCTGTCTTGAGTCTTATGACTACCACTTAAGACACAAACATGGCCCCTTCACATCTTGTGTATGCGCACCTTGACAGGATGAGAACACAGCTCAATGAGATGGATATGGCATATGGACAACATATGGATGCATATGGCACATGGATGCACATGGTGAATCAACGAAAACCACATTGCACAATTCTTTGCAAAACCGGTATCTCCGAATCTCCTGCACCGGGCGTTGGCCTGACGAGGGTTGAGATGCACGGAATGCACGGAATGGGTTGAGACCTCAAAGAAGCCAAGAAAATGCCTAAAAAATATCCTAACATCATCTGAACTATTTGATATTATACATTAAGATTCAGATATTATTTGATATTCGATTAAATCAAATTCGATTAAAAGATATTAAAAGCTGGTTTCCGGTTTGCATGGAGCTCATCAATTTTCTGCATGTTGTGCGTTCGGCTGACCTTCAAACACAAGAAATTATAGCAGCATAGGCATAGCATAGCAATGACGTTTTCCCTGTGGCCTGATCCCTGTTGACTTTGACCTTTGTCCTGGCAGGCTTGACGAGTCTCTCTCTTCGTGATTCGGAAACAGTTGCAGGCTACGCCGCTACGCAACAACTTTGGCCTTTGGGTTTCATTGGTCACCGCTTGATACCAGAAAGGCCCGGAAGATTGTATGTCCATATGATGCAAAGACAAGAAACCCGACAGGTTTTAAAGCAAACGAACAAACTAACTAAGAAATATAGCAGCAATAATTTCTAAGTGGTTTATTCTGTCTACGTGTGTATCGGTGTGCGCGGATTCTATCAGGTTACCAGCGTCCCAGTATAGCATAGTCTGTTCATAGTACTACGTAGAGTCGTAGAGTGTACTGTAGCAACAGCTGCCGACACCCCCAACAGGGCCAACAGCTGCCTGCGCTTTTCTGGCCCCATTCATCTTGCCCATGTGCTCCTGGCAAAGTCAGTTGCAAACCTGCCAGTGCATTGGCTCCGTGAATGTCAGTAGGTTCACAGGGCCTTCACGACCCCGACCAGAAAGTCCCACTGCCGTTTGGATGCCTAGGGAAGATTAGGGAAGTATGTCAGAATTGCAGAATCGCATTGGGCCCCAAAATCCGATGGGCAATTGGTGCAGTGAGGGTGCAAAAATTAAGCTTTGCTAAGACGTTTCCGGTACAAGCACACACAAGAGAGGACTCTCACGGCTAGAACCAACCAACTCAAGATAGATTGCGTACAATGAATGAGAATCGAGCTTGAGATCTCTTGGGCATTGCTACTTGTTCCCTAAAATGTTCTGAGCCCTGAGCAGATTGAGCATTGCGCTTGTTTTGGGCGTTGGGCTCATACAGGTTGATATCCTGGCAATGCAGGGCTTCGTAGGGCTGCGTCCATTGTTGAACATGGTGAAACGGCAACTTGTGTATCTTATGTTGTGGAACGTGGTGGAAACACGTGGTGTCCACTAACGTTGTGGAAACTTCCAGGGCTTTGCCCACTCATTGGAATTCGGGCCAGTCCTTGAGAACTTCTGCATTGCCTTCGCCGGCTGACTTCGCATCCTCATCGTTAATGTTCATGTAACACCTGAGCACTGAGCACCACATGGCACCGCACAACATGTCCACAACAAATTCACTCCAGCTTTGTCATAGCATATTGTAATTGCGGCACAACAGCGGCATGAAATAAGTAAAAATAAAATGAAATAATCACAAAGGAAGAACATATGACATTGTCCAACACTCCCTGGCAGCTGGGGCTGCGAAGATCGCATGAAAATGCGTGAAGTTGGTGTCTTCTGCGCAGCTCAATTTTCCATCGCTTAGTGGCTTAGTGCATTCTATCGGGCCTGTTCTTGCCCGAGGGCCTAGCATAGCCGGCATAGCATGGCCTAGCCTAGTTGCGGCTAGGACTGGCTCTGTTGAGCTGCTCGGTGAGCTCTTCACCTGCCATACTTCTGGAATTCCCACTCTCCGTTGTCCAACGGGCATACCTGTCGAGTCTTCAGCCACCTCAGGACACCAGAATCTCTTTGACTGTGCTCCTTTTTCTCAAAATTGTTTTAAAAACTGTATGTTCAAAGGAGTTATATAAATTTATATAAAACATCCTCCCCTCCCTGCATCTCAGAGCAGACTCAAACTCCAACTCGTGCCTTGAGATGCAATGAAAGTGGAAGGCATGGTTGCCTCAGCTGGAATCTGGAAGTTCGGTTGGAGTACAAGCCGCCACCCTAACAATCCCTTCCCCTTTCGGCCCTCAGTGATAAATTTTGCTTTAAAAAAGAATCCGGGTAAAACATGTAAAAATCCAGGCCGAAATATGCTACAATATGAGCACCAGGTTACACACTCCCCATGCCACAGTGCACTCCTCGCTGGTATGAGATCCTTGATTTGCCTGACACTCGATGCAAAGGTCCATGATGTGGTTACGACAAATGGCACCTGGACAGGCTGTATTGGACAAGCTGCAGGTCAATGATGCAAATGATGGGAAGAAAAATGCTCCAAGTGAGAAACAAATGACATTTAAATGCACTTAACCACCTGTCAGACAGATACCCGCTTATGGCCGCATGGCCGGTCTGGTTTGCACAGATTGAGTGACAACAAGCATCTAGTGAGCCACCAAGGCACAGTTGTCCACAACAATATCCCAGGCCCATAGTGCTACTGCACTCCACTTCTTGATTTCCTTCCAGCAGCTCAGCAGGCTCTCCATCAAAATAATCAAAGTAAGGTCCCGAGGCTATCTTTTGCAAGTTTGTTTGCCAGAAACTTTTGGGGCACCACTGGACACTATAGTCATAGGTCATGACAGGAGCATCAAGAGCCTTATAGGAATAGCAGCTTGAACACTTTGAATAGCAATCATGATTGCCTTCAAACGTTCAAGGCAAAACTTCGACTTGTCCAAGGTTCGAATCGCTTCTCGCCCCCGGGGCCCGGATCATCGGAAGATGCTGCCATGGCTGTCTTTTAGCGCAGGCTGGGGATCTTTTGGGTCACAGCTGAGACTGAAAACATCCCAAAGCGGCTAACAAATCTTCAAATGAAATGGTGCTACACGGCGAGCATGCACAGAAATTTCACATAATTTCACGAGTTCCTCTCACAACGCTTCACGTGTGCACTTACAATATCTTACAATATTTGCAACATGCATGTTGTGCATCTTGCATCACCTTGTCTATCTATGTCTATCTTGTCTTCTTCACATCGTTCAGTAGAATCGTTCAGTGAATGCCGCACCGTAGCCAAGGAGTTTGAGGCTTCAACGTCATCATCCAGGTGAAAAAAACGGAGTTCGTGGCCTCAGCACGGTCGGAGAGCTGGATAATCCGAGATGTAAGCTGTATCAGGTCATATGAGAGTATACAAGTGATACATGATGATACAGGATGATACAGGTTACATAAGATATCATAAGATATAAGAATGATATTATAAGGTTGTATAGGTTATATATGATCCCGCCCGGCGTCCGGCAACCCCCCCCTTTCCCCCCAATGCTATCCGCCCCTGCCAGCCCCCCCCCCAGCAACCACCCCCTTGGGGGTGACCAGCCGTCTACCACCATCCGTCAAGATCTCATATGCTCATATGCTGTACTTGCATGCTGGCCTCGTGCCACCTATGCACTACAATGCACTACATAACAGAAAATACCTCCATGCAGTGTTCACTACTGCCTAGAATATGCCCATACAATCTATTTACAACGTATTACTGCCAATAAAGTACCTTTAAACGCCTTTATAGTATCCATATGCTAGCTACTATCAAGATCTCATGTGCTACACATACGTGCTAGCCACATACTACATATACACTATCTACATGATATCTCCAATATCTCCATAACACTTTACCCATCCCACAGGGGGGGCGGGGGGAAAGTAGACCCTATATCGATCATTTATATGCTAGCAAAATGTCAACTATATCCGACAGTGTAAATACAGGACCATGACCATGGAGGGAGGGGTTGCAGGGCTGAGCCATATACACGATGTTATACCGAGATTTGCTACCGAGCCCTTGCTCAGCATAGTCCCAATGCTGCATCATTGAGCGGTGAGCAGTACAAGTCCCGCGTCTCCCGTTTTTCCTGTATCATATGTTATCAGCATTTTATCAGACATATGTGCGTCCCTGTGCTGTACTACACACCTTTCGCCTGAAGAAGCTTTGAGCCCCCGAGCCTGTTCCATGCTCATGCCTGGCCTCTGATCAACAAGCCTTATGCAGAGCTAGAGATGAGAGAAAAAGGACGCAACCCTGCACATGTTTGCAATTTGCAAGTACATGCGTATCATACGCCTCTGCAAAGACGATAGAAAATGAATGAAATTGACACAAAATGGGCACACTCTCCAACTTGAAAACATGACAAAATATGACACACGTGAACTATGGGCTGACTATGGTTTGACCAAGCCAGGCAGCTGCGCCGCTAGCCCGGAAACAGCTTCAGCATTGGACTGCATCCTGTTGAGCGCACGCACCCTTCAGTTCCCAAGGCAAAGAATCACTTGCACCATCTCGAATTCTGTATGAATTATTCTATTATTCTATGATTTCAATCTTATTCCTCTACGAAAGGAACACAAGACACACAGGCACTGAGAAGCAATATGATGCAAGATGAATATGAAGCAATAGATTTCTTTTAAGACGTCGCAGCATACTGGCAGCATTCTCGCCTTGCCGATGCACCGGCCAAGCAAACATTCATGCGTGTGAGCCGCAGCTCCTCTGGCATGTCCTCGGCACAAGCTTGGCAGGTGTGTCATCTGAAGGATCTGAAGGTATCCACTTCAGTTGCAATTAAAATACCTTAATAAAGTAAAACAACAAATTAATTGAGCAAGACAAACTTTGCTCAAGACATCTCAAGACTTTTCATCACGAACGTTCACGTCTGTCAACATCCCACCATCACTGGTAGCATGGCTGTAGCATGCTGTAGCCATGTTCCTAGTGAGTTTCTTGAGTTTCTTCGAAGATAAAAGGACTGAGCCAGTTTGGTGATTTTGGTGAAGCTGCCGTCCTGGTCAAAGTCTACAGTGTATACAGGTTCCGGTTCCGCCGACTCTCCTCTCGTACCAGGTCTCTCTCGAGAAGCTGAGAGAAATGTCAAATAATGTAAAGCCGCTTCCATCCTTTTGTATCCTTTTGCTGCAATGCGCAACATGGGGTACACAACGCAAACAGTATGTGCAAACATTATATGCAAACATTATGTGCAAACATGTGGAAAATTATATTATGAGATATTATGAGTATTTATGCAAATGTATGCAAACCATACATGTTGCAATTAAGAGAAAGAAGCCCCTGCAACAGCAATAACGATAAGTTCTACCTAGACGTTGCAGGGACAAACCCACTTTCTATGATATGTATTTGAAGGACAAGGCAGTCAACGCAGGGAACTTCAAAACCCACAACTCACCGAGAAGTGTTCGCATGTCTGTTCCCATGTAATTGCACATGTTTGCACCCTGTCATTTGATGCTGCGCTCTCAATTCACGTCAGTCCTACGTCATCTTCCTGACGAGACATCCAGTTTAGGAGGATATCGTTTTTGTCGCGAGCATGAGACCATGGCAAGTTGAGAAATCCATTTGATGAATACTCCAGTTTCATGCATGGGGTCAAGTTGATTCTCACAGAATCTTTCATTGTTGCTGTCTTTTGGCACCTCGTCGTCATCACTATCCAAGCTCTCCAAATCGAGCTCGTCAATTTCGGCCTGGTCTGGAAAGGAATGAAAAGTCTCGGAGGCTTCTTTTATCTGACTTCTATGACCCTGGCAACCTACTCAAACAGACATGACATAACATCCTCATTACCTTCCAATCCTTTCCAGCATTGAGTGATTGGACTTCATTGGACAAATAATTGGAACATGCGAACTCATATATTAGGCATACAGCATACATGTGAACATATGTGAACCTTATCCTTCGTGTTTTTTCTTCCTGATCGTTTTGCCTGGAAATCAACCCAAAGGACATATGAATACTATATAAGTAATTGCCCACCTCAATTGATTTCTGATGGTTTCTGTGGGGATCTGTTGATATCTGTTGGATCTGAGAGAGTTTGGTCATGTTTTGGTCATGTTTTGGTCCTACCATTCAACGATTGCACTACTCAGGACATTGATGCTGGACGGATGTGTTGCCACGCCTGGGCACCGGAATCTTCTGCAACTTCCTTAGACACCCGGGCACCAGGCACCGACAAAATCTGACAGATGGCTCCGTATGGCTCCCCACAAACTGAGCTTTGGTTTAACAGTTTAACATGTTTTAACGTTTTGGTTTTGTTAGTGTTGTTTTCTTGAAAGATAGGAGAGGAACCATTGCAAAGTCATGGGCATTCGCATAAGGCAGGTTTGAATTGTTTGCATTCATGCATGCATGTCTCGGCAACCTTTTTCATACATTTGGAAGGGACTGGGAAGATAAATCACTACAGCACAGCGTCGAAAAACAAGCAGAAAAAGGTGACAAAATTCCGTGCACTGATCAAACCGGTTTGAAACCATTTGGACCAATTCTTATCAAACTCGTATCAGCATTTATCAGCCAAGATCATCCTCTCAATTCCTGTCATGTTTTGGCGAGACTCGCAAGTCACCGGTGCCAAGGCAGAGAGCAAAAGCAGGCACGCCGCACAGGCGCTCGCCACCCCCCTTCTTCGGGGCACCTTGGAGCAATGAGCAGTGCAGAATCTGGCAGGGCAACTCTGCAATGATCTTCGATGGTCTGCAATTATCTGAAAATAGATGGATAATGATGGATCGATAATAAATGGTATTGTCAAAAGAATCAACCTGCTTCTGATTTTCTCTGACCTCTCGAGCAAAATCAGACTATGTGAGACTCGGTGGCTAATAGGAAATACATGGAAACGAATGGAAATACTGGGAACGGTGAATACATGGTGCCGCCAAAGATCGCCAAGGCATGTAACCACCAAGTTTCAAGACTCTGCTCCATGTGTTCTATCCCCTGAGGCCCTGACATGCATCTGCAAGGGAGCGATCTACTAACAAGCCTACTAAACCTACAACCTACCGGATGTACTACTGGATCCAATAGCAGCCGACATGGAAAGAACGCCATTCATCAACGGGTTTCGCTTTGTGCGGATACATGTGCGTTTTCATCCATGCAAGTGATTGTGGTATACATGCGCATCTCTTACTGTTATTCGCTGTTGTGGGCATCCACTTTGCCGATATGTTACATCATTATATTGTTTTATTTAATATGTATGTATATATAATTATACCATCATAAGATATCATGCCAAATGGTATGATTTAGTCATTTTGCAAGGAAAACACCTCTAGAGCGTAAAAAAGCGTTCGGATTGGAAAAAACCGTTCCAGAGCACTTTTTGCGTTCAAAATGGCAAAAAAACACGTTTTCTTAAAACAGGGCAGAAAAAAAACAATCTGGAGGGTTACCAGGTATATATTATAAACATAAATATTCACGCCTTCCCATGCAATTTCATACCAGTAGTGCCGCACAAGGCGGCGGCGGAAGTTTCAAAAATCGGAAACATATAGGAGAGGTTAGTTGTTGTGAGTCACGGATGGCAGAGCGAAGCCACTGATGGACCGACAGGTGGTTGAGGTCTCTTCTCTTTCTCTCTCTCTTTCTGTCTCTTTCTCTGACTATCTACCTGCCTACCCACCTATCCACCTATGCATCCATCTCTCTCTCTCTCTCTCTGTCTGTCTGTCTGTCTGTCTGTCTACCTATCTATCTGCAAGCTTGCAAACGAAGCTATTCTGCGAGACTTCCTCAGTTTTTAAAACTTGACGACATCAAAAACGCAGCAAGTCAGCGAGACTCCTCAATTTTTGCACTTGACAACATCAAAAACGAAGCAATTCTGCGAGACCCCCTCTTTTTTAAAGTTGGCAACATCAAAAACAAAGCAATTCTGCGAGACGTTCTTCAAAAATGGAAAGTTGAGTGCAGAGCTGACGGCCTCGTACCAATGCGTTTTGCGATTTTTTCAGTCCATCTGTCTAAACTATTGCGCCAAGTGATGCCAGGTCATAC